GTATTACTTTCTGAGGAAGAAAAGTAATAATAATATTTACATTTTAAACACTTGCTTTTAAAGAGTATTTAAAAGATCATCTAGTAAGCTGTATTTTTTTAATTTGGGCTGAATTAGAAGATAATTCAAAAATACTTTCTTAGTTTTAAGACATAGCAAAGTCAGAGTAATTATGAAATTGTCTTATTTCAGAGATATTATTGGTGATTTTTTTTTTTATATAGGTGATTTTTATTGCATTTAAAATTCTTTGAAACTTCTCCCTCTAGAAGGCTTAGCATTATTGACAGGCTCCTTTTAAAGACCATCTGCCAACTGAATGTTCTGTTTGTGTTCCTTCAAATTAAGAAGCTATGAAATGTTTTTTTGTATGCTAAATTACTTTTGTATTTCGTATAAATTATTTGGGGTTCCCAGGTGGTGCTAGTGGTAAAGAACCTGCCTGCCAGTGCGGAAGATGTAACAGACAGGGCTTCAGTCCCTGGGTTGGAAAGATCCCCTGGAAGAGGCATAGCAGCCTACTCCAGTATGCTTGTCTGGAGAATCCACATGGACAGAGGATCCTGGTGGGCTGCAGTCCATTGATGCACACAGCCTTGGACAGAACTGAAGCAACATAGCATGCGTGGATAAATTATTATGGAATTTAGGCCTTTTGTGAATAATTATTTTCTTAATTAAGGTGTATTTTATTAATATTTACATAGCACTATACCATTTTCAAATTTTCTTCAAGGATATTGTCTTATTTGCATATCCCACTAACCTGGTGATATGGGCTAAAATGGTATATTTGTCTCCATTTACACATGAGGAAATTGAGATTCAGAGAAATTAAGTAACTTGCCCAACCTTTATGGCAATTAAATGATAGATTCTGGATCACAAATCAGATATTTTGACCTTTGATCTCTTTCTTGTATACCCTGCTGCCTCATTTACCCTGCTGTCTTGTTTTTCAATTAATGTAGTATTGAAAGTCACAGAAGCAGTTTGTTCTAGATTATTTTAGATTTTTTGAACTTGCCTCTTCTAATTGTGAATTTTTAAAGATTTTTTTAAAATTATTTTTCTTCTTCCTAACTTCTGAAACTCTTTGTAACTTCTTAAGTTTTACTACATATACTCCACATGAGGATTTCATGGTTGTGTATTGTACCTTAGTCTGAAACTTGTCCAATCTTGAGTCACATGTTTAAACAAGTTAAGGAATATGGAAGTTCCTTCTCACCCACCCTTATACATGTGCATGCACATGCATACACATAGACACATATACACACATTTAATTAAAACACTTAATACTTTTGTATATGGGACTTCCCCAGTGGCTTAGTGGTAAAGAATTCAGGAGATGCAGATTTGACCCCTGGGCTGGGAAGATCCCCTGGAGAAAGGAAATGGCAAACCACTCCATTATTCTTGCCTGGAAAATCCCAATCCATGGGGTCACAAAAGAGTCAGACGCGACTGGGGGACTAAACAACAGCAATTTATGTATATAGGTTTGTTTTGATGTGTATAAAGTTAATGTTATTTGGAGGCTGAGTAATAGGAAATATTACCATCATTGGTTTTATTTTAATCGTGATTAAGATTTAATACTTAAACCATGTTGAAGCCACCATCAGTAAAATGACTTGTGCCCCCCACCCCCACCAAAAATTTTTGAAAAGAGCATTTGCTGAACTCATTGATGTAAGAATTCAGTATTTCATTATTTTCACATTATTTTTCCATATCTATACACTTAATAATCCTTAGAAGAAAATAACTGTCTGTCATTCTTGGTAGTTGTGTGTTATTCCTAGAAAAGTCTGTCCAGAATATATTATCTGAATTTCTTGATGGTGTTGAATAAAAACTATTTTTCTTATTCTAAAAGATACTGACAGATTAGCATTGTCTGTGCCTGAGACCTTTGAGAAATTAAGCTTATTGAGACCACTCATGTCATATTGTTCTTAGTCATTTGTGTTAATTCAACCATTGTATTTGAAAGCAGATCAAATGGCAGTCCATTGTACAGGGCTAAGATTTGTGATTGGAATTCATTCCTTATTATAGGTAAGAGTAAAAGTTACTCATCATCAGCAGGGATGAATACTCTAATTGTTCAATATAATTGAAGAACATATTTTGTGAAGAAGAGAAAAATAAGTTTTGTTATGACAAGTAAGATTTCTTTTGTGAATAAGATAGAATTTAAGCTACAAGATGAAATGTTTACAGAATTTAGGCAGAATGAGTCATCATAGTAACACCAATACTCTTGATAAAATGAGAAAGGAGATAAATTTTTTGCAATGCATTGATTGTTTTGTTTGTGGTATAACTTTTATGTTCTTTTGAGATTTTTTTCCTTTTACATAAGCCCATGTAATAGTTACAAATAAAACAAAAATAAGCACATAGCAGACGGATACTCAGCAGACCTTGACAAGACAATAATAAATCAAGGGGTTTTGTAGGAGAAATGGTTGCTGACTATGAGGTTGGTGGCCTTCTATGTTCACAGTTATATGTTCTAATTTATTTCTGGTCTGCAGATGCATCAGTATGACAAATGTCTACCTGTCAACAGATTAGACAGAAAACGTAAGTAAAGCCTTACAGAAGTCTCTGAGAGTCTGAGTGATTTAAGTGCACAATGGTGGAATAATAGCTTGCCTCAGCAATTACAAACATCTCAGTAACATTATAAACCAGATTACTTTCTAGGGTTTTGGTTTTTTTTTTGTCAGAATATCTGTTATGTCATATATCCAAATAACTAGCTCATCTCAACATTTTTCTCACTAGCTACATCAAAGAGCTCTCCTCTGTTCCGTTTGGTAAATGTATGTCAGGTACATTATATTTGCGGCACAGTGTTTCCAAAGGCTCATGGTGTAATATATAGTGTAATATATATAATGAAAATAATTTTTCTTACTCATATATAGATATGTGTGTGTGTGTGTTTTATTAGGATGAGCTTTTAAAAATACAATTAGGACTTAATGTTCTTCAAGCACTTTCAGGAACCAATGTTCTTGCTTCCTCTATGTATTACTGCTATTATCATTGGGCCTATTACACTTGAGTATGTGTGTGTGTTTTAAACTCTCTTCAGAATCTTTGTTCAGCATTATTCCTCACTTCACTGTTTCAAGTTTACTACAAAGACTTATTCTACTCCTGTTTGAAATTCTTAAACCTCTTTGTTCTCCCTCTCAAGCTGCGTGTATCCTCACATATATTTAGTTTTCTGTCTTCTGGAGTAAGAAGTTGATACTTGGCCCTTCTGATCCTAACTGGGAGGTGGCAGGGCATGGAGGGCAGTGCAGAAGTAAGGGAAAGGAAAGCCTGTTTCTGCCTCTGTCTCTAATTATACCAGTAATTCATGTTTTCTTAAGTAAATGACTCTGATACACTCATCCATAAAGTAGAATTATCTTACCTACTGTGCAGGCTGTGGTAAGAATTATATGAGATCAACTTTTTAAAGTGTGTGGCATAGTTAACATAATTGCAAAATAAGTGGTGTCAGTTACCTCTTAGTTACGTAGATAGCATGCTTTGTGATCCTTTAAACAATTCTTCTTACTTCTTCACTCACCACATCTATAATAATTACTGTCTTACCTCTGTAAAAAAGCAACTAATTAGTAGTACATGTTCAGGAGACAGAACTGTTTTTGAAATCAGGTTTCACCATTCATTAGCTGTGCCTCAGACAGCTTGCCTAACCCTCTCTATAAATTTCCCCTTTCTCCTCTGTAAAATAGTAATAATAATAGTGACTTGACTCAGAGTGTGGTTTTGAAAATTGTATTCAATTAACTAAATGTGTTTGTGTATTTATGCCTACATATAAAATGTTTGAAAACTACAGATAAAATATTTAGCACAACATTTTGCATAAGTTAAGTATGAAATAAACATGCATACATTTGTTATTAGTCTCCATTCCTGTCACCATTTCACGCTTTTGTGTCCTCTTAGCTGAGTGCTCCACCTCAGGTCATTGCTGTATTCTCACACCATCCCTCTCATACTGTTGGCAGTCAAACTTATTTTTTGTATATAAAAAAAGAAGCCCTCAAAGCTGTCCAGTGTCTAGCAAATACGGTAGAAATGACTTACCCTGGCCTTTTAGGGCTGCTGCAGTTGGCTCTCATACTGCCTTTCCTGCATGATCTCTAGTCTGTCTATCTTACACTGCTCCTACGAGCAGTAAGACAGGCTACATGCTGCAAAACTAACCCAGTATCTGGAGCATACATGAAAGTTTCTTTTTTTTCCCCCATTTCTCTTTTTTCCCTTTTTCTCCTTTCTACTCTCTTCTTCTAATAAATCCTGGAGTCTAGACAAACATGCTCTCCTTAACCAGACATTTTCTTTCCTATGTCTATACCTTTTTAAAATTCTAATTCTCTTTGTTTTTATTTATCCAGCAGGTATTTATGGATTACATTCTGTGTGTTATTTATTGTTTGGCACCAGGGACACAAATGTTTAGGACACTTTCAGAGATTATTCTAAAAAAAAATAATAATAATAATAATAAGATACTATATTAGAGATACTCAGGCGGCCAGGCTGAAAACTACATGAGGGCAGGATCCATGTCTATTTAGGCCTACTGTTGTATTTCTAACTTTTGGAATAGAGCTATGGACATATTAATGTTCTCAAAATTATTTGAGAATAAAGTTTGAGAGAGATGAAACAAGATAAATGATAGAGAAGGCATGAGACAGCTTGGCATATTTGGTTATTGCACATACTTCTGTGTGGCTGTAGAATACATTGTAAAATTCGTGTCTGGGTGTAGTGAGAGATAATGTTGGCAAGAAATGAAGAGGCCAGAATATGAAGAACATTGTCCATTTCGCCTGGAAGTTTGGACTGTATCATGGACTTTTGGGAGAGCCTGTGAGAGGGTTTAAGTAGGAATGCTACATGCTGCTATTTTATTTTAGAAAGGATATCCTGTTAACAGTGTAGTAAGAAGAATTAGAAGTGAAATTAGAGGTATGGGATGAGTTTTGAGGTTATTGGATTAATAAAGCAAAGAAGTTTGGGTGCTTTTAATTGATGATGGAAATAGAAAGATTTAAGATATATTTGTATGATAAAATCAACTGAACTTGATAACTGATTAGATTTGGAGAATATGGAACATGAGAAGAAAGGGTAAGCTCTGACTTCTGCCCAGCCTCAAGGCCCAGCTGAACTGTAACCTACTACACTTTCATTCATCTAATTTCTGATTAAAATTAATATTTATTTTTCCTCTTTGTAAAATATTATATATATCTTTCTTATATTGTTGATTTCTTTTTACTAATTGTTATTTGTAAGCATGTCTAAAGTCTCACCAAACTGGAAGTCTCCTAACTTATCTTCGTATTACCTTCTATGGCTTTATCTATGTTGGATGTTCCATAAATACACAGATTATTAATTAATGCCATGCATTTTAATTTAATAACCTCCTGAAAAAACTCTAGAAAGTTAAGTATATTCCTGAGACATTTCAGTATTTCAAAATGAAACTAGTTACAAGTAGGTGAAATTTAACTAACATTCTTTCAAAAACATTTTAATTCGAAAAATTAAAAATGAGTAATTGCCAGAAAAGAAAATATTCATAGGAAGAAATTTTAAAGTGAAATCAGGCCATATTGTTTCCAAATTCAGATGAGAACTTACTATTAAAAATCTTGCACAGATTGGAAATGACTAATCAACATTAGAAAAATGAAATTCGAAGATCTGCCCTCGTACTGTTAATGGCTAAAAACATTTTCCTGTCCAATTTTAACATTGTTGTTCCAGTGTGAAAATGTCAAGGATTAGAAGTCTTATATTGGAAAAAAAGAATCATTTAAGTATCTAGTCCATGGAGGGTTTTCTGGGGCAAATCCCGTGATTTCTGTCAGTCTCACCCCTTCAGAGAGCAGCCTTAGCTGTCTTAAATTTAGGATATCACATTTGAGAGATATTATATAAAAGGGATATAGATATAATCTGTAAAGACAGAGTGGTATATAATGATGATAAATTTGGATTATCTCTAAAGGTCCTTCTAGCTTTAATCACCTGTGAGTTTATGATTTTAGGTGTTTTAATTTTTTGTTTTCAGTTTCAAGATCCATGTGAAAACTGTAACATCTCAAGAAGTGAGTCTTCATTAGTTGCTCTTGTACCTAATGGCCAGACATTTTTTTTCAGGCCGCATATAAAACATAATTGTCTTTGGAATTTAGTTCAACATACTTATCATCATAAAGTCTTAAGAAAATTAAAATGGTAGAACAGTAATTGTTTTTAACTGTGTTGGAGGCTCGTTGTCCAGAGTTCCCACTTGCATATATCTTTGTATTAGGAAAATGCTTTTTCAATGAGGAATTGTTTTTATTACAATGTGATTATGTAATTTCAATGGGGGAGTATTATGAGATGAAGTGGAAGGATCACAGGATCTGCTTTTTAGTATTAACTTTGCCCTCAACTAGCTACCAGCTACCTTCTTTAGGCCTTGGTCTCTTCATAAGTAAAATGAGGGGGTGGAATAAATAGTTTGTTATATCCCTCTGAATCAGTCCTGAATATTCATTGGAAGGACTGATGCTGAAGCTGAAGCTCCAACACTCTGGCCATCTGATGCAGAGTCAGCTCATTAGAAAAGACCCTGATGCTGGAAAAGATTGAGGGCAGGAGGAAAAGGGGACAACAGAGGACGAGATGGATGGATGGCATCACCCTCTGGATGGATGTGCGTCCGAGCCAGCTCTGGGTGATGGTGAAGGAGAGGGAGGCCCGGGGTGCTGCAGTCCGCAGAGCCGCAGAGCGGGCACGACTGAGCGGCTGAACACCGGAGGTGGCCCTCTGAGCTCTGAAATGCGGGGTTTGTGCCACGTCTGTACCAGACCCACAGTTACTGGTCAGCTAGCCAAGTGTGACTCATTGTGGTGAAACGTGAAATCTAATCTTTTCTGTGATATTTAGCAGACCATGGGGATAAAATCTCATTGAGTTGTATTTGATCAAAAGAGCTAACCCAAACTAAGAAGTCTTCATTTTCTTGTTTCACAGGAGATTGATCAGTAAATAAAAGCATGTTATAGAGTTGTATAACTATTTATCATTATTAATATTCTGAAGAAATTCTGTTATTAATGAGTCTATTGCTAATATTAGGAATACATAGATTTTAAATGGCTTAAAAGTTGGGCATCTTGTGACTTTTATGTCATACTATCATAATGAGTCTTAAATCTTGAAGAGTATTTCTGAATTCATATACACAAATGAGTATTGCTGTCTTCATAGTTGCATTGGGAGACTTAGCTCTTTTTTTCACATCACATCATTAAATATATACTACACACCTTCTACTGTGCACTGATAGTACCATATTAAATTGGAGGCAAATCGAAGAATTGTAGTTATGCATCCTGTTCTGCAAAAGCTAGTTTTTTATTTTTTTTAAATCACCTTCATTTCAATTCTGATCCTCGGTCTCCCTATTCTATAAAGCTATCAATTTCATTTATCCTCCAGACTCCACACACCATCCAGAGCTATGCCAAAGCCCTGCATCATCTTACTCACCTCATATCACATTTCACTTCCCCTGAGATGCCTTTTGTTTTAACCTGTGTAGACCTTCTGGGGCCAGTGGTTGGTTCTGCTTCTTCTATGCCACAGCAAAGAAGCAGCACGGGGAACCCCATGACCGAGGATCCATCCCCTTCGTTCTGGCATCTAACTAGCAGCTCTGAGATCTTACCACCTGTCAGTCACTTCATTGGTCCTGCACCTCTCTGGAATTTGTTCATCTTTTCCATCTCTCTTCTATTCAATTTCAAAGAAATCTCTTTCTTTTCCTTAAAGATACCTACCCAGTGTGTAACTAGCTTTCTATCTTTCTGAAATTTGTGGGTTTTTTGGTAACTAAAAGATATAAAAGTGTTTGTAGAAAGTTTTTTCCTTTTTTTGTGTGTAGGAAGAACATACATTCTAAAGCTCTAGATACCTAGGTGTCTGCTTGAAACAGGAGAAGAGGAACAGAGAGGGGGAGAGAGAGAGAGAGAAGGAGTGAGGGAGTGCGGGAGGGGGAAAGAAAGAGAGATGCATAAAGATGGATTTTCAAGAGCCTAAGTTCCAGTGGGAATGAGTCATCTATAAAACAGTAAATTTTTCTTGTATACTTTTTATAAAGCCATATAGGGCATGATTCTTATACCATACACTTATTTTTTTTTCTTATTTTTTGTTTTGTTCCTTCCCTCCCTTTTTCTCTTTATTTCTTTCAGAAAGAGAGATGGTGAGCCCTTGTTTAGAATTCTCTTTCCCTCACTTACTAGTAATATGATCTTAATCAAATGACATTTTCTCTCTGAACCTGTTTTCTGTTTGTAAAAATGAGGATAATGCCACTTTTCCATACTCCTTTACAGACTTTTGTTAGACCAAATAGGAAAACACTAATGCTTGGAAAGCCATAAAGCAGTGGGCAAGTATATAGATTTTATTGATTTAATGCATACTCAGAGTGGTTTAGAGCCAGATACACCTGTATTCAGCTGTTGCGTTTGCCACTTCCTAGTTTAGTCTGAGCGACTTCACTTTCACTTTTCACTTTCCTGCATTGGAGATGGAAATGGGAACCCACTCCAGTGTTCTTGCCTGGAGAATCCCAGGGAGAGCGGAGCCTGGTGGGCTGCCATCCATGGGGTTGCACAGAGTCGGACACGACTGAAGCCACTTAGCAGCAGCAGCAGCAGCTTAGTGTAATTTTAGTTTCTGTGTGTAGAAAACACTAACACCTTCAAGGTTGTAAGGAAGAAATAAGATAATCTTTATAAATTTTAAGATAAACAAGAGTATGTTTTATTTCCACTTCTTAGATGAAGAATTTGAAACTTAGGCAGCTAAAATGATTTGGCCAGGGTTATGCAGGTATTCGGAGAAGGCAGTGGTGCCCCGCTCCAGTCCTCTTGCCTGGAAAATCCCATGGATGGAGGAGCCTGGTAGGCTGTGGTCCATGGGGTCGCTAAGAATCAGACACGACGGAGCGACTTCACTTTCACTTTTTACTTTCATGCATTGGAGAAGGAAATGGCAGCCCACTTCCAGTGTTCTTGCCTGGAGAATCCCACAGATGGGTGAGTCTGGTGGGCTGCTTTCTATGGGGTCGCACAGAGTCAGACACGACTGAAGCGACTTAGCAGCAGCAGCATGCAGGCATAAAATGAAATTATCAGAAAAAAACTCTTGATATCAAATATGGGTTTGGCTTTTTAGATAAATTATATCAGGAAATTTCAAAGAAAAAGTTCCATATGTTTGTAGCATAAAATAAACATTTGCAAATATGTATAGTTGAGATTCATAAAAAGATTATTTTGAAACGTTCAGATTTGTTGTTCTTGTGCATTTGTTAAGCAAAGAAAAATTGTGCAGTTTCCTTATTTTATTATCAAATTGTACAAATTAAAAAATGTAATCATATGTCATGTTAATGACCCAAGAGAAAGGAAAAACTAATTGGCTCCTTTTTCAGTTGTAGTGCTGGGTAACTCACAAGGCCTAGATGTCACTTATTTTTGATGGGCATTGTGTATTAGAATTTTTAAAATGAAATTTGATGGCTCCACTCACCTATTAACCCAAGACATATGGTAGGGTTCAGTTCTCATTTCATAAATCCCATTTGTCTCCCATTTCATCCTTTGTGTTACACTTGACTGGTAATAGTAGATTATGTTTTTTTCTATGAAAACTTCCTTGATTGTCAGTATATCACCAAGGGCATAATCATGATAGATTAAAAAATAATCATGTAAATTATGATCATCTCTTTCACATTTTCCAGAATATTTTTTAATAATGAGAATTTTTCTTTTTAAATATTGATTGGGACTTTCCTGGCTTGAGAGAAGGCAATCATATCAAATTATTTAATTTTATATACTCAGTTTAAATCTAGAGTTATATAAGATTTGATATTAGGGTTTAACAAGAGAGTATGACTACAGTTCAACTACCTTGTTCACATATATAGCTTTTCCAGGCCTAGAAAATTTCTCTGTTTAAATCATCCTAAACTGCTAGCAGTTTTAACACTGAGATGAACTACGGTGGAAGATTTTTACTTTTTCATAGTGGTATAAAATAAGTATATAGTCTGGGAGAGGAAATTATTCAATCTTGAGATTTAAGTATGTACTGTTAACATCCATAAAAATAATAAGGCTTCAAGTATTGTTTTAAAGTTACTATTTAAAAAGGTGAAAATATATGTAGCTATACCTTTCATGCTGACAGTTATAGAAGTGCAAGGTTAAGTTATCCTAAAAATTTTATGTTAAAAAGCAGTGCCTATACCTTTTCATCACATTTACATCTTATATAATACTTTATATACCCCCTCTTCTCAATTTCCATCAGAAGATTTCCTCCATATTATTCTTTGAATAGTAGGCCAAGTTTTCTGAGGACGTGATTGGAACACAGGACTCAGCAAGGTAGCCTATAGCCAAAAAAAAAAAAAAAAAAATCAAACCATAATTGTGCCTTGTCTCTGACCACTCTCCTTTGAAAAAGTTATAACATTCAGAACAGAGAAATTTTCAAATCCATTACAGGAATTTCTTTTGTGCAATGTACACATGAACTTCTAAAAAAGTTTTATATTTAAGCATTTTTAATAGTTTGACTTCTAGTGAATGTTGTCATAATATTCAGTATTATTAGAATAATTGTTTTTATTTTCATCATACCACTGAAATTGAGAGAGTGCATTAAACTGAAGAGCATAACTTTCAGAGGGTATGTTGAGAGTATCTTGGCTTCCAAATTAACTACAATTCTACTACCTTGTTCACATATTTATTTCTTATTCTCCAGGCTTGATTTCTTCCCATCTGGCCTTTTTGTTTTTTAATTGAAGTATAGTTGATTTACAGTGTTATTCTAATCTGTTATACACCAAAGTGACTCAGTTTTATACACACACACACACACACACACACACACACACACACATCATCTATCTATCTATCTATATAGAAATATTTATAATTTTTTTAAATATTCTTTTCCATCGTGGTCTTGGTCTAATTTCTAGTTTCTTGCCCAACTCTCAGCTGGCTTTTTCTTACTACAGCTAAATAAAATAGCTAAGAAATAGATTCAGATCCAGTTAACTTCATTGTGTATCTTGAATGATCCAAGCATTTAAACTTATGTACCCCTGTATATTGTGTCCTGTTGTCCTGGTAAATCTTTTGCTTCAGAATTGTCTTGGGTGCTACCTGGAGGTTTGGGGTTTCCCTGGTGCCCAAACACTAAGGAATCTGCCTGCAATGCAGGAGACCTGAATTCAAAGCCTATGACAAAAATTATTATTTTGTTGATACTCTGACAAATTCTTTTGGATTGATCACTCATAATTGATCCAAACTTCATGTAAAATAAATTGAACTCTAGGCAAAAATAAATATATTAATAATAGTATAATTGTTTTTCTGTTTGCTATCAGCTCTGAAAAGCATCATGTGAGTCTAGAAATAAGGTAAGTTGGCAAGAATAAATTTTGTTCATACTAAGTGGTAATTTTCTCTTCCTGTGTTGGCTAGGTTTTTCTAGATATGACATTTGGCTCAGGAGGACACACAAGAGCCATTCTACAGAAGGAGCCAGATATCACTCTGTATGCATTAGACAGGGACCCTACAGCACATGCAATAGCCGAACAGCTTTCAGAATTGTACCCGTGAGTAATAGTCTTGTATAGACGTTTAATTTTGTTGCTGTTTTATGGATCTTGGTTTACCATTTGGAATTTGTTCTCCCTTGTATGATGTTATACTTAATGAAATATTTCCTCCGTTTTTATCCAAAAAGCATTGATGTAAATGATACTTTTAGAACCACTTAAAAATATTGCTGCATTTATCCTTTGTAAATAAGTATAAACACAAAAAATTATTTTTGGCAGGTATTTGAAGATGTGTTGAAATCCATCCTTCAATAGTATTTTGCCAGATAACCCATACTTTTAAAACATTTAAAAAATATTTTATTTACAGTTTCTAAGAATTCAGTGGAGTAATAGTATGTAAAAATTCTGTAGAATTCATGAGGTCACATACATCAACGTAATGCAATTTTCTTTGAAATCTTTCGGCAATAAATTTAGAGCTTTCTATCCCTCTGTCAATCATGTCAATGTATGACAAAAACCACTACAATATTGTAAAGTAATTAGCCTCCAACTAATAAAAATAAATGAAAAAAAAAGTAGTGAGCATTTATGGTAGAACTTTAAAAAACTTTAAGGTTATTGTCTTTATAAGTCGTTAAAGCATTTTCCTCTAGAGAAAAATATTTGAATTAATGAGTTATGTTGTTATGTTGTTTAAAAGACATCAGGCTGTAAAAGACAAATATCTTGGAATTCAGATGGCCATCTCCAAATATGTAAAGGGCTTTTTTCTGTAATGGGGAGTTGTTCTATTCTGCTAAGCTCCACAGACTGAAATAAAAAAAATAGACAAGAATTTTTTAGGTAAACTGTGACTGGACATAGAGTTTTTACCAGTTGTAGCTGTCTAACAATGGAAAGGTCTCTTTGGTGAAGTAGCTAAAGTAAGGCCATGGGACGGTTTAATCACAGGCTAAAGGTAGAAAGTTGGATTATAAATCTAGAATAGTCTTTTCAACTTCTCTCAAGTCCCAGATTCTTTGCAGATCTGTATGATTACATCTCCCAATAAAAGTGTAAATAAATATACCTAGATTTTTGTTTGCAAGATCACAGTGTTTGGAAACTCCCTGGAAACCCATTTGATCCCAGGTTCTTTATTTCTAACAAAAATATGAGGGTATGTTTTTATGGCACAGTATTTTTTTTTTTTAATCATTCTTTCATTTTAAGCAAAGTAACTTAAAATGCACTTTCTTGAAGTCTTGTACTGGGGCATTCATATTTGTGAAACTTTTTAGGAGTTTACTTGATTATGATATGAACATTTGTAGAATGAATATAAGTCTCTGTTATATATCACTAGCATAGACAACCTCGTTTTTCTTAGATATTATTGTTTCTAAAGGTGGCGATTCCCAAGGTCTCTTATTCTTCCAAACACTCTAGTTTCTTAAATGGAATCTCGAGACTGTATTCTCTTTGCAATTTACAAATGTGGAAACTATTAGCTACGCATATTAGTTTGCTAAAAGGCATGTATACTTAATAGTGGCAGAGATGGGATGTATATTTTACTCATCACCCAGTAATCTCATTTTATTAAATTATAGTTCAGTTCAGTTCAGTCACTCAGTCATGTCCGACTCTTTGCCACGCCATGAACCGCAGCACGCCAGGCCTCCCTGTCCATCACCAACTCCCAGAGTCCACCCAAACCCATGTCCATTGAGTCAGTGATGCCATCCAACCATCTCATCCTCTGTCGTCCCCTTCTCCTCCTGCCCTCAATCTTTCCCAGCATCAGGGTCTTTTCCAATGAGTCAGCNTAAGACTGAGAGAGAAAACCAACCATAAGCACAAGGTAAATTATAAGGTGATTTTACTGCAATGCTGTGGCAACATGTGAACCCTAGATTAAATGAATAATGAATAATTACCTGAATAAAAAAATAATTGCTAACAAAACATAAATTACTAAAATTGATTCAATAGCTATAAACCTTTAATCGGTTATTGCCATAAAATACATTAGAAAGGTAACTAAAGTATATAGAAAAATGCATAGTAACCAGGTTTGCAGTTGTTATCTAGCTCTTAAAGAATAGGAAAGAGCATTGTCATTTATGCTAGTCCTGACCATGGTAAATATGCAGAGCTCTTAAAGTTCATTTTGTATTGAATTCAGCAGTGTTTTAATGCCTAATTCTGCTAGAGATAGTATAAAAAGAAAAAGAGAAAAAGTCCAACATCATTGAAGTATATAAATGCAGAATTCAAAATGCATTGCTAGTATATCTAAGTTACCCATAATATAGATAAAAGAATAATAGTCCATGGGCTTTCAAAAAGAGTTGGACAGAAAGAATAATGGCTATGGCCTAATACAGTTGAATTCAAGAGTACAAGGATGGCTTCATTTCATACAGTTAATGACAGGTTGATAAGCATCACAAGAATCAATTAGCTGTTCTTATTAAAATCTCGAACACTTTTAGTTCTAGGCAGGGCATCTCTCGGGCTTCCCTGGTAGCTCAGCTGGTAAAGAATCTGCCTGCAGTGCAGGAGACCTAGGTTCGATCCCTGGGTTGGGAAGATCCCCTGGAGGAGTGCATGGCAACCTACTCCCGTATTCTTGCCTGGAGAACCCCCATGGACAGAGGAGCCTGGCGGGCTGTAGTTTATGGAGTCAGAAAGAGTTGGACGTGACTGCGCGACTAAGCACAGCACAGCACAGGGCATCTGTCACGTGAGGCTCTTAGGACCTGCGTGTGCCGTTTTACAGGTTCTTTCTATGTAAAGATGGTGTGTATGCCAAGGTGCCATAGTCTGAGATAACTTTTCCTGAACCCTGCTAATATTTATCAAATAGAAAGAGTTCTCTCAAAGTAGGTAAGACAACAAATTCAGTTTAAAAAGTAGACTAATAATATAAGGGTCAATCACTAAACATCAGTATGTGAAAAGATGCTCCACATAAGTAGCTGTGAAAAGGGTTAATGAAATTAAAGTAATAATGGTATAAAACATTATACGTAATAAACTGGAAGACAGCAGTTTTGAGATAGGGGAAAGGATTCTTACTTATTTTTCTTGGGTATCTTTTAATATTAAAAAAATAAATAAGCTGCTTAGAATCTATCACATCTAAATTAAAGAAGCAATATCTAAAGAAACATATCCATAGGCTTATTACAGACTTTGTGTATGCATTTTTGTGTGTATAATCATAGAGAACTTGAGAAAGAAGAAATTAATAGTGGAGAGAGGTACAGAGAAAGGGAAAGTAATAGTTAAAAGAAATAAGACTAGATGAATGATCACCATCCCTGCATACATATGTAAGGTAGCCAAGTGATACTATATATTATTTATATAAAAATATCTCCAATTATAGGTACAGTATAAAAATGTACATAACAAAGATAAACACAAATTTGGGCTAGGGATTACTTCTGGGGATAATGGATAAATAGATGGATGGTTGGTTGGAAGGATGGACAGATTAGATAAATTGATTATATTCTTAAAAATACATCTGTAATTACAACATTTAGTAAAGTATGCAAAAAGGAAACATTTTGTCATTTCAATATGCACATATTTTGAGGAATTAATTTCTTTCTGTCATTTATTTATTTTGCTGTTGTCAAAGAGTAGCCTATGCTTCTGAAAAATCCCAAGTTCTTCATTCTGTTAAACTAAGTCAAAAATAGAAACCAACATTTTCACAAAAAAACTAAGCAATTCATAGGAAAGCTGAATTTTAGGCTAACCCATTTTAGCACTTTCAGAAAAGATGACATGTCAGATCACTTGTTGTTTGAAAACTGAAACTTTTCCCTACTGCCTCTGAGGACTGTACAAGAGGAAACACATTAAAATTGGAGCATTTGGGTGTTAGCTGACTTTTGCCACAGTGGAAGATGGATGTTGGAAGACAGTTTTTTTTAAACTCTTTTTTTTCTGAATTTAGAATTAATATGTGCTCTGCATATTGAGTTCAGAGAATATAGACATGTATAAAGAAAATAAAAATTATAATTGATTACATCATTTGACTGTAGGTAAAGGAGTTATGGTGCTTCCCTGCTTGCTCAGTAGTAGAGAATCCACCTGCCAATGCAGGAGATGCAGGTTCGATCCCCGTCTCTGGAGGATCCCCTCAGGAGGAAACAGCAGCCCGCTCCAGTAGTCTTACCTGGAAAATCCACTCGACAGAGGAGCATGGCAGGCTACAGTCTAGGACTTGCCAAGAGTCAGACATAACTTAGTGACTAACAAACAAGAACAACAAAAAGTAAATTATAAAAATACAACAAGCTGTTACTTTCAATAGTTTGTAAAAGTAGATATTCTCACTGGGGTAAACTTATATAGAAAAGTACGCAGAAAAAAATTAAACTCACTTGTTAAACCACCACCTAAGTAGTAATGATTTTGTATATTTCATTCCATCTTTTTAATTGCTAGTGTTGCATTATATTGTTTGTATTATTTCTTTTGTGAACTTTTGGTGTTTTTTATTTTTTTTGCTTTTTATACCTTTAAAGCTTTGAATATTTTGGCCAAGTTTAAAAAACATTTTGATAAATTATAGTAAATACATAATAAAGAATTTACATCTTTCCTCTGCATCCCAATCCAGAAGCATAATATATTTTTCCATTGGTCACAGTATTTGTGTTTGACTAATATTTTTCTTAATTAAAATGACAAAGTACAGAAAAGTGCTGAGAAGTGAATTAAAATAATTCATAGTCCATGACCACCAAAATAGGCAGCAACTTAGTTTACTAGAATTCTAATATAGTCTTATCTTTTAAGTCTTTCTATACTAGTTTATTTTAGGTGTATTTCCTTAAACAACAAATACCAGATGTACTTTGTGTAAATAAATCTGAGCATGTTTTCTGTAAAGGGTAATTAAATCAGGAGAAGCTTACTCTTTCTATGTCATCTTGTCTTATACTTTCTATTTTTCTGTTTTATTGAAATTTTCTTCAGCATTTAAATTTTCTCTTGTCCATTGTCAATGTATATATATTTGTCTTTGTCTTTTCTCTAGC